TTTTCAGCAGATGCGGACTCGCGGCATGCGAATGGTACGCGATACGGGTCAGCTGAACCTGCCTCCAGCAAAGAATTTTCAAAGTTTTCCAGCGATTATGAAAACGAAGTGGTAATTTTAAATTTGGCATGTGCTGTGAGTATTTATACTTGTTTTTATTTGGCTGCAGTATGTGTGTTACTTTACTTTTAGAGGAATTACTTGTGCTGCATAATTATACTCTTTTCTGCCAATGCTTTTGCAGTAATTGAGGAAGTGTCGGTTTTTAAGTGACATTTCAGTTTAGGATTGCGAAATATGGAATCGTGAGAAATGGTGGAGGGAAAGAGTAGCTGTTCAGGACGAACTCTTGCCTTATGAAGGTGTCGGGGATATAATACTGAAGTATGTCTCCGAGCGAGGGCCCCAAGACGTACGTGCTGAAGGATAATTTTGATTATATGTTGAAGTCCACTTCCAAGATTCTAGTAATTATTCGGGATTGTTTTCATCATTCAGATCAGTAGCCTCCCAAAACTGATTCGGAAGGAACTTGGCGTGGATGTTGAGGCGTCCAGTTTTAAGGAAACGAGTTGGTCAAAAACTCTTCGAGCCCTTGTTGATAGAGGGAGTCATTCTAGTTTATGTCTTGTTGGCAACGTATTTTTTAGATCTGATTTGGTTTTTTCCTTGTTTTTCTCAGATTATCCCTAACTGGTTAAAAAACTTTTTAGCTCCCTAAATGATTTCAGAAAGTTGGACTGAAAGTGGATTTGGAGAAACTCGTTCGGAAAGGTTATCGGTATGATAATGACTGTGGCTTTATTGCACAAAAAGTCAGCATTTATCTTAACAGATGATTGGTTTTTATGATATTGTTGTTTTTCGTGTTTCAATTGCTGGATTTCTTAGATTAGAGTTATTTTTAGTTATTGTAATTTTATAATGTTACATGTTATAAGCTGCAGGTTTACAATCTCCTAATGTTGACTGCCGATCGAAGACTTCCTCTGCAAAAGATTCTTGATAGTCCAATAGGTTGCACCGCCTCCTGTATTTTGGAGATGCAGCGTATTTTTGAAGATGTATTCGAGTGGGATTTTGCCTACGGTCTGCATACTCGACTTTATTATTCTCTTTCTGTCATTTTTGTACAACTTCGTTTATTGTATCCTTCACGTTATTGCGATGCACCTTTCGTTGAATTCTTTAACTTGCTCATTGGAGAGTAGGAGGAATGTAGCAGCGAATATGATATTTTGGTGAAGATTTTAAGCAGTAGCGCTTCACATTTTGTTACTGGATTGTAGGAGGGGTTTCTCACTCTGCCCTGCATTGATTCAGTGGCTGTTTTTCCTCTCCTAAGTAATCTTCTTTTTGTTTAGGAGGTTGGATAGGGAATCAAGGAGAAGGGAGTGGGGATTAACTCATTACAAATGCGATTTACTTTTGCTCTGGGATGAACTTCAAATGAAACATTCTGACTAGTGTAGTATAAGTTTTATACGCTGCACAGCTAGTTCAACCCAGTTGGGTTGCTCCAATGGTAGAATGCAACAATGATTAAAAGTGGGAAGCGTTGGGTTGCCTACTATATTGCACGAAAGTTTCGTTTCAGGTGCTGTTCTTTGTTTGAGGCACAATGCTTTTTTTGTGAGGAAGGTCAGAAATGAAAGTTTGGATCGCCATTCAAGTCCACTGCAAAGTCGGTTGGGTGACATACCGCAGGTGAAAAGTCACTGCCTTTTTTCATACAAAAGGGTAGAGGCGAGAGACAGAGGATTATGCGAGGAGGTCGTTCAGTTTCCTTTTGCGTCACTTGTTTTGGGTTAACGAATTCTTTCTTGCATGCGTAATATTTGGAAGGAGACGTCAAGTGGTTGAAATGTTTGGGGCTCGTAGAAGTTTCGGAGGTTTATTTCGCGTTTTGTTTTAGATTACACTCTGTGATCTTTGGCTGGACAGAGTCGGTGAAAAAAATTTTGTTTTTTGGACCTCGTTTGTACTAAAAGAACATTGTATAATGAAGAAAAGAGAATTTTTTCAAGAAGAAATTGAGTAAGGAGTTCTTTCTGCTTTTTTACAGTGGTTGAAAGTTTCGTTTTGTTCATTATTGAGTGAACTACTTAATTTTAGCTTAGCTCTCTCCTGTTCATCCTTTAAGATTTCTTCTTACATTATTTATTTCAGTCAGTTTTATTCGGAAAACTGGGATAGCGCTAAATACAGAATCGATAGTTTTAAAGAAGGATTATGTTGTATTGTATATCAGAACTGTCCTGATCATAGGGAACATTTCTATAGGGCCAAGGTGCTTCGTCTAAAAGGCGCAGAATTAGTGGTTTCACTTATCGATTATTCTAAGATTTTGCCATCGGTTCATCGGGAAAGTGCGCGAGCAGTGAGTTTTTGCTGGATTCACTGGCTTTTAGGTAAATGTTGGTTAAATTTTTTCAACAAGTGGCCCAAAGTTCCTGAGATCGAAGCAGCTTAGATGAATTTGGTAATCATATCGTTTGATTTTTAGTTAGAAGATGGGTTCTTAAAAGTTGCGTCTTTTGGGATTGACATCAGCACGGAGGAATTCGGTATCGTCACTAATAAAATGGTAGTTTTCTAAAGTCATTCATTTGGCTCTTTCCATTCTGTACTCGAACACTTCACCGCTTTTCAGGACGAAATTGAAAAAACGTTTTTTGAACTGCGTGATCTGTTCTTGAATACAAAAGAGTCGGTTTGCGCCAAAATTACTTTTGAGGTTAGTTTTCACCGTTTTCCTTCCTTTCTGCTCGGTTTGGTGAGCTGTTACGCGTTTTTTGAATTTCAGCAGCAGACGGACGCGTATAAGTTGTCAGAAGTGTATATTGATGAGTACTTCTCAGTTCCTTCGTACTTTGTTAAAAAGGGCTTGATCGAATTTTGTTCGGTGGAGGGAGTTGCAAGGCTCGATTTTCGCTGACTCTAGAATCCCGATATGACGCTGTTCTGGTCTCTTCTGCCCCATGTTGAAGCTGATTTCGACCACAGGATGTGATAATGTGGATATGAATGTTTAATGGTGTTCTATGCTTTTGTCGCTTCTTGTTCCTTAAGCAGGTTCCAGGTGAAGTCCAAGCCATCCGGTTTGGTGGTTTGTGTGTTTGTTTGAAGGGGGAGGCTGGCTTGTTTCACTAGAAATGCTATTTTCATCGCAAGTCATTATGCTACGTTTTTACTAGCTATTTTCTGGAGTTCTTACTAGCTATTTTCTGGAGTGTTGACAACTCCACCGCGTGGTTGTGCTGGTCTAGAGAGCCCAGTGGAATCGACGAGCCGTGTTTTTTAACGATGTCTATACAGAGTGTTTCTTTGAATTACGGTTGCCCGGAGGTTTGTGGTAAAAGTTAAAGAGTGTTGCAGGGGGCGCTGTTGATGGAGCACATATTTGTTTTTCTATAGTCGTTTATACGGTTATGCAGTTATAAATGTATGGGGAAAAAACATGAAAAATCACAAGTGACGAAACTAAGAAGTATGCTTGAGTTGTAGTAGCGCTGGCGTTACAATAGTCGTTGTCGTCGCAGTAACACACCTCGTTCTTCAGACCTAGAAGGTTTGTCACCGCACATCCGTTGTCGCCGTTCGATTGCCCTTCATAATTCATACCAACAGTTAGCCTGCAAGACATTTTAAAAAGGTTCCTTTTTTGCATGTGTTTGCAGGTTTACAATGCCTTTTTTTAGCAACAAAACCTGGTCTGCTCAGTGATCTGGACTTCTCTGCAGTAGTCCTCATTTTTGAGGATCCAAGAAGTGAAGTGCCAAACCGAACTTGGAACGAAGCCGTGAAAAATCAAAGAAACGAACAAACTTTTAATGATGGATTAGTTGAGGGAGAGAGATCCAGGAAGGTGCGCATGTGACGCTTACACCTCTCGTGTCAAGTTGCACTACCAAGATGGAAGTCTCCTGGCTTCAGCTGCAACCTGCGGTTTATGCTCTCATGATCAACACTGAGCCTGGATCTGCTGGGAAGGAGCGCACTGCAGTTCTCAGGTAATACGGCTCTCGGTGCGATTTACAATGCACACAACCGAGGGAAGAGGAAGGAACGTGACCTATGATATGCGGGGAAAGTTTACAAAAAGGTTCTTGGGTGTTGTTAGAACGAGGTTTCTGGAGCGAAACAATATTTCTACGGCGACACAAGTTGCCCACAGAATGAACTGTCTTTTGCACGTGTAAAGGTGGGGTTTTTGAAGAAACCACAAAGTAAAGTCTCTTCAGTGACCTCTGGTGTCTGCTTCCCTCTGTTTACCCGTGAAGTTGTAACTTCAACCATTTTGTCGCAGAAATACTTTACTTTAACATCAGATTTCTAAGTTTGAATTCATATAGAACCTTATCTTAGATTTGCAATGGTGAGGCTTTGCGTACAGTACAACGAAAACGGGTAAGTTGCGCAAAAAAATGAATGCCAAATTGAAATAGAAATGATTGCAGTTCTAAAAGATGATTTCACACATGCTTTCGCTCCTTGCAGATTTCAGAGTGGGGGATTTTGGGCATTTAGTGACCTAAGGTAAGCGAAAAAAGTGGCACATCATAATTCAGCCACCTCCCACTGTTGTATTGTGTATTCCTTGATTCCCAAATGGGGCAGTAACTGGCTGATCAAATAGATAATTGAAGTATTATCGAATGTGCCAGCCTTTGTCCGAAAAATTTTCGGCTAAGCAAGGGCATGTTTCTGTTTTCCGCTATCGGTGGGTCCCATGACACGAATGCTTCCGTTTGTAATCTCCCTGTAGTTTTTCAGAATGGAAATCTTAAGAATGTCGATTCGCGTAAATTAACTCGTACCTAAAACCATCTGCTCCCTTGCAAACTTGCTCTGAGGGGTTTTTGGGACGTTCTAAAATTGAACTTACTCGTCTGTGAATCTAGAAAGGCAAGTTAAGCTGCCGGCTGAGATGACAGCAAATTTTTTGCTTCAAACATGAAGGCACAATGGATAGAATAATCCGTCATTAAAAAACCTTGTTCATGTCGCCCTCAAACACCCTTTGCTGGGATCTTCAAGCAAAAACTTCTTTCAATCAGAAACCCGGATCAATGGTAAAAGCGAAAATGCAACCCCATCCCGTTACTTACAAAATTCTTTCGCGAAAGTGAAACCTTAAAATGAACTTAGAACGTGGCAAACCGACGCTTGCGACTCTTGAGGGATACACGTCACTCAAGCCTGCAGGTACTGTTCATAAATTTTTTTCGTAATTTTGGAAGCGCTGATTTCAGGATTTTGAAGGCTAGAGTCTTCCTGCATAAATTATGAAATGGCGGGAAATCTAGATAAGGTTCTTTTGAGGAATGAGCGCTTTCGAAAAAAACCCGAAAACTCCTATTTATAGCACTACCTCTTGATTAAAAAAACTTCAGCAGAATTAAATGAACGTAAAGGAAGTCTGCAGAATTTGAACACTTTGGAGAATTGACCAGTAACCCGGTGTTTACCTTAAATGAAAGCTTGCTACAACAATGTTTCCACAGGTTATTGCCCACACCATCCGCTTAGCTGGTTAAGCGGATCCTTCTCGCGAGCATCCAAATAAGTTTAGAGAAGCTCTTGGTCAAAATCCACAGCATTATTTACTTTTAAAAAGAACAAGTGGGTTTATTTGTCTCGTCATTCCCGACACACGAGCGTGAAGATTTGCAAGCAGTGACCGGAGGCAGCAGTGAGCTCAGAAATTTGGCACTTTTTTCTTAGACTTCATTCAAGAAGCTGTAAACAAATTAAAAGCAAAAATACCGCTGAACCTGCTAACTGCTAAAAATTCAAAAGCTAGTGTACAGTCTGTCGAAGAATACAACAGTTAAACGATAGCAATTTGACTGTTTTTTTTATTTTTTAACCGGTCAGTTAACGCTATTTGGAAGACTAAGTCCATGAATACACAGTGCGACATGGAGAAGAAAAAATATGATGTGCTGCCTTCATTTCCGCTCGTCATAAGCCGTTTGTAGCACAAGCTTCCTCGTTCCAGAGATCTTAAGGAACATACTTATGTAAAGCCACTCTCCAAATTAAGGTCAACCTTCTGCCAATATTTTTTTTTCACAGTTCAGCTGCGTGCACTGTACACCCTACAAGACGCCGTGTCTTTCTAATTCCACGATAAGCTTCCACGTAAACCAAGTGTTGGTAAATCTAAAGCGTGACATATTCTCAGGGCAAAAGCATCACAGCACATAACACAACAGTTAAAAGTACATAAGTAGAAATAGGAGGAGAGCAGACAGCCAACTTCGACGACGGGGTAGTTCTGCAGTTTATTCAGGCAAGTTTCTGATTTTTAGCACGTGTGGAACCCAAATTGTGTCGTTCTTGTAGGGTTATAAAATTCTAAAAGTTGCCTTACAATAGCAGTTGAAAATTCTTGTAGTATTTCTCCCCCCAGATTACCCTCACATTCCCTTCACACAACTTATCCGTACACATCATAAGTTGTTTAAACATGCCACTGGGAAACTACAATTTACAGATTTCCAGTAAACGCAAACTTGGTGTAAGTTACAAAGAAGTTTGAGCTGAAGTCAAGAGACTTATTTTGCTAAGATGCAACTTGATTTGAAAAATTGTAACAGTATCAAGTGCATATTTTCCCAACTTTTTTTACCTTGAACAAACTAGCCGGCACCTTAAATATCCGTGTGTTCCTAAATTTTCCAGTTTTTTCTGGTGTCAATTCGGGTTTCGTTCGTCAGAATGGTTGCAAAACGGGAAGTTTTTAGCAGCCTCTGGCTACTGCATTGAAGAAGGGAGCATCCCAAGGACAATGCAACAGGGACTTGGGATTTCACAAATGGGTCATTAAAAACTGGGGAGTGGTTAAAACGGGAACGAAGATCAGAAAAAGATGGGATCATTGACAGCGACGGGCTCTTCTGTTTAGGAGGGCGCTAAATTCATCGTTTTGCACAATGAAGCAAACTTGAATCATCTAAGTGCGAGACTTAAAAGGAGCCTCTGCAGGACCTGCTATTTGCCCAACTTTAAAGAAGTCGTCTGCCACAAGGTCTCAAATGAGCTTGACTATTATAAAGGATCCTTGATTATCAATTGAGGATTCTTGATATTTGGCTCAACCTGGCAGTCCAGACCTTGGTGTCACATGAAAGGCAGATGCGTTATTACTAGTGGACTCAAAAGTTTTTTGTGAGAAAAAATTCTTTTTTTAGCTGACAGGAACTGTTTCCTGCAACACTATTTCTTTTAATTAGGTTGGCAAAGTCTCCGTAATTTAAGTTTTGGATAACACTGACGGAAAACGCAAACTCAACAACACAGCTCTGAATTCATCCAAAAAGACAAAAAAGTGCAGCTAAAAATCTCCTAAGCCTTTTTTTTCACTTCCGACTCAGTTCATTTCAAACTATTTCTTATTCCTTAAGATGTTCATCGGATCAGGGCAAACATAACGATGGATTAGCTGAACCAAATTAAATGGCACAGAATGAAGTGAAGAAAATGCGAACACGATAGCACTGAGATAGCAGGAGAAGGAGGAATTATGATTAGAAGACTCGTGTGAGCGAGGAAGGCTTTAGATGTTTGACGGCACTGTTAAACACCAGATATGGTACTCCACAAAAAACTAAAAAATTAAATCAGAAAAAGCAGAAAACACACATCAAAAAACGAACAAAACAAAAGATGCTAGTCAGAGCAGACAAACTAATGGCTAGTCCCTAACACGGTTCAGGGGATTTACTAATTAAGCGTAACTCATAGACTAGTACCAAATCCTTCCCTAAGGTGTAACACAGAGTACAATTTGAAATAATTAGAGCCTAAGATCAGTACATATTTCATGCCGCTGGTAAGATGTAGATCGACACAAGAGAACTATCTCGCATATTTTGTTGCTGTTTACACATAGTTGTTGTCCTTCCCCCTTTTTTTATTTATTTTAAACATACTAAAGCTTTTTGCAGTTTGCAAGCCAAAAATTCTGGCAAATTTGAAATTTTGGCATCAGATAATAAATCCTCTGTCTTGGAAGCGCACAAGGTTGGCGTCAAATTTTTAGTGCCAAATTCATTTTATATTGTATTTCTCAAATCCAGCTTTATGCGGTCGAACAAGATCGACGGAACAAATTACCTTTGTCTCAGCGTTTTTTCTTACCAAATTTGGCCTAAAGCGGTAATCAAAAATCTAAAATCTGGTAAGTCAATTATTACAAAACGTTGGGCAGAAATACCTTTTTTAGTAGTTTGTTAAGATAGACAGCCAAAAAAAGAAGAAAAATTCAGTTGACAAAAACGATTAAAATGCAGATGTAGTACCTTAACACAATCGGATAGAAATTGAAACGGCAAGGAAGAATCGGTGGGGTGTATTAGTCGCGCACTGAGGCTGACCAGTTTAGTTTTCCGGTGAGCATCAGTTTAGGTTTGCCGGCGAAAACTAATATTCAATTTTTTGATCTTTTTGCAGTAGTTTTCAGTAAAGAAATTTTTGTTTCTTTATTTTCAAAAACCAAAAAACTCACTTTCGATTATCGCATCCTTTGACAACGTACGAATCTTGAGCTAAAAATTAGTGTTCATTTCAACAAAATGTCAACGTTGATTAAATTTTTACAAAAATATTTGGATCTTTCTTGTTCAAATTTTACATTTACGTAAGGTTTAGAGTTTTGTTGTGGCAATATTTTGGTGAAATCAACTTCAATCCTTATTCCCTGACTTGTTCAGTTACTATTCTAAAAGAAACTGGATCAAAAACAAAGTCTTCGTTTTAAAGATTTTTGGTAAATTAGTTTTTTGTAATTTGGCCGTAAAACGGAACAAACGATAACACTTTAAGAGGGCTATTTAAATATGGTAAAATACACAGAGATTTCTTTGTACTGTAATTTTGCTGTTTTTCATCAGTTTATCGTTATGTTTAAGGAAACAGCCTTTCTTGTTGTTCTATTCTTCGACTTTTTTTTGAAGCTGAATAATGTCAGGATTAGATGTGAACAGTTGAAAAATAACTTACCGATAGTTTTCAGGCAACGTTCACCATAACAAACGCCTGAACTGCAATCGTATTCTCCGTGGCAGTCATAACAACGTCTACCTAAAATTCTGCGACCGTAGTCGTGAAACATTTTGATACTTACTATTCCTCGTTTTCATTGCCTATTTTCTAAGAAATTATTTAAACAATTTGCGGTTTGCTAAAAAAACACAATAAATGTTCAACAAAACATTTAATTTTCTCTCCGATATTTTCGGGATTGAAGTCAAAGAAAAAGAGAAGAAAAAGTTGGTACACGTAAAACTTCTAACGGCATTTTTGTCAACAGTAAATTTTTGGATGACAACTGTTAAATTTCAAATTTTTTATATTTTAATAGATTTTAAAAGCTGTTTCACGAGTATATCTTATGATATATTATATAAAAAAAATTCCGAGCATAAGTGTTTCTGGTCTGTAAAAAAAAAAAAAATAGAAGTTTTAAGGAATATCAACCATTTTGTAATTATTGATGTTGAATTAAAATTATATTGTGGTAACAATTTTAAAATTTTGCAAACAAATTTGGAGAAATTACACGGATAAGTATCTTAGAAAATTTGACAATTGTAACTGCTCAATTCTTTTCTACAGTTACATCTGAATGGTGTAAACCAGATGACACTTTTACTGTTGGTTGTCTTATAAGTTTGTGTTCACTAAATTTACTATTAGCTATCCCCTTATCAACTGTACAATCAATGAATCAATTAAATAGAGTAATTAGATGACTGTAAAGAGAAAGGCTCTAAGGAAATTGTTTATCAAATAAATTGTTCAAAAATTTTTTCTTA